TTGATGGGGGGGGGGACACTTTGTTTTCTCTGTCTGGGGTACTCTCTCTCTCTCTCTGGTCAGTCTCTTCCTCCTGATGTTTATTTTATTTATTTATTTTTAGATTGGATTTATACCCCCCCAGTGTTCCCTCTAAGCTGAGTTAGTGTGAGCTAGCTCACAGTTTTTTAGCCTCCAGCTCACACATTTTAGTCTCAGCTCAGGAAGGATAGCTCCAGGGTAAACTAATTTATGCAGTATCCAAATCGCCTGCTCACAACTTCAATGCCAGTAGCTTACAAAGTAGAATTTTTGCTCACAGGACTCCACAGCTTAGAGGGAACACTGACCCCGCCCTTCACTACCTGAAGGTGTCTCAGAGCTGCTTACAAACTCCTTTCCCTTCCCCTCCCCACAGCAGACACCCTGTGAGGGAGGCGGGGCTGAGAGAGCTCTGACAGAAACTGCTCTTTTTTCAAGAACAGCTCTTATCAGAACTACGGCTTGGCCAAGTTCATCCAGCCAGGTGCAAGTGGAGGCGTGGGGAATCAAACCCGGTTCTCCCAGATTAGAGTCCGCGCACTTAACCACTATGCCAAACTGGCTCTCATATCAAACAGGTTTGATGTGTGTCCCCGGTGAACGTGTGCATCCTCCTCTCCAGCCTCTTCTGCTTCCCTTTGCTCGGCTTGAAAGTCTCTAGTTGGGACTCAGAAACCGCAGCCATGAAGCGTCCGCACTTCCAGCCCCCCCCCCTATGCAAAGTGCCTTTTCACCAGCCAGCCCCCCCCAAAATGCAAAAGAAACCTGCACCTCGAAGTAAAACTATTTTGTATAAAAATAGGAAAGGCTTGTGCTGTATCCTAACAACATACTCAATGCCACTGAAGGTTCCAGAACACCCTTTGCAGAGACCACACTCTCTGGATCCACCAAGAGCTCTGTGTGTAGGTCTGATGGAGTTGCCAACTTCAGGTTGGGAAATTCCTGGAGATTTGGGGTTGGACACTTGGGAGGGACCTCTGCGAGGTACGGCGTGCCGTAGAGTCCATCCTGCAAAGCGGCCATTTTCTCCAGGGTAGGAGGCCTCTGCCTTGACCTGCATAGCCTAGGATGGCTAGTCTCGTCTGAACTCAAAAGCTAAGCAGGTTCGGCCCCAGTTAGTATTAGGATGGGGGACCACCAAGGAAGTCCAGGGTTGCTACACAGAGGCAGGCATCGGCAAAGCACCTCTGAATGTCTCTTGTCTCTAAAACACTACGGGGGTTGCCGTACGTCAGCTGTGACTTGACGGCCCTTCCCACCGCCAGCTGATCCGTTATCCGGAAATCAATTGAATGTTCAGGACATCCCCAGGCCCCCCCTGGAAGCTGGCAACCCTGTTTCCCCCTCTCCGCGCTGGAGACTGGCTTGCCACCAACAGCCATCCAAAGGCTTCCTTCTTTACTCTGCAACCCAGGTGGCGGAAAAGAATCAAGACCAGAGACTGAGGGCCGGCCTGAGGATTTTGAAGCAGGGCGCAGAGCCAAGCTGAAAACCGCTTCCTGTGCTCTGGTGCTCTGTGCTCAGAGGCACCCTGCTGCTTCTCTGTGGGCGTTCATAAGAAAAGTGTGCCGAGTGCAGGGACCTCGGTTTTTCTCCAGGAGGCTTGCCGCTCTGAATCTTTTCTTGACTCAATGCCCGCACTCCATGTTTGTTGCCCTTGTTTGTGAAAAGGTGGAAGACAGGTGGGTATCTGGTCTAGCTCTAATCCCCCCCCCCCCAACATTACTCCTCATCCTCATCCAGGTTTACCAGCTATGGGTTGGGAAATTCCTGGAGCTTTTTGGGGGTGGAGCCTGGGGAATGCGGGGTTTGGGAAGGGGCGGGGACTTCAGTGGAGCATAATGCCATAGAGTCCACCTTCCAGAGTGGACATTTTCTCCATGGGAACTGATCTCTGTGGCCTGGAGATCAGTTCTAAGTCCAGATCTCCAGCCACCACCTGGAGGTTGTCAACACTACAAGACATCTTGGTGCAGGGGTTAAGAGTGGCGGACTCTAATCTGGAGAACCAGGCTTGATTCCCCACTCCTCCACATGAAGCCAGCTGGGTGGCCTTGGGCCAGTCACCATTCTCTCAGGACTCTCTCAGCCCCACCTACCTCCCAGGGTGTCTGTTGTGAGGAGAGGAAGGGAAAGGCGATTGTAAACCACTCTGAGACTCCTTCAGGTAGTGAAAGGCAGGGTATAAAAAACCAACTCTTCTTTTTAACAACATAAGAGAAGCCAGTGTTGGATCAGGCCAATGGCACATGCATTCCAACACTCCGTCACACAGTGGCCAAAAACACCAGGTGCCATCAGGAGGTCCAACGAGAGTTCCTATCTATACCTCGTGGCTAATAGCTACTGATGGACCTCTGCTCCATATTGTTTATCCAGTTCCCTCTTGAAGCTGTCCATGTTTGTAGCCGCCACCACCTCCTGTGGCAGTGAATTCCATGTGTTAATCACTCTTTGGGTGAAAAAGTACTTCCTTTTATTCGTTCTAACCCGACTGCTCAGCAACTTCATTGAGTGCCCACGAGTTTGTGTATTGTGAGAACGGGAGAAAAGTACTTCTTTCT